CCGCCGCCGCCGCCGCCGCCGCCTGTATTTATAGCATTGCGCCGAGCTTGACGTCACGCTGCCCGCCCCGCCTCCCCCGCGCAGCCAATCCGGGCGGCCGGCCGCTTAAAGGGGCGACGGCGCCGCGGCCGCGTTTGCGTGGGACCCACCGGGCGTCGCGCGGGCTCGCTGGAGGCAGGCTAGGGTGCCCCCAGAGATGGCCCGGGACGCGCGACGGCGGCTTCCTTCCGTTACCTGTGTTGGGTCAGTGAGCAGCTGCGGGGCCGCGAGCAGCAGCCCTTTGACGCGGAGTTCTCGGAAGCCTGCGGGCAGCCCGTCTGTGTGCTCGCGTGCGGAATTCCCCTCGTATTCGGCCCGGCTTTCCCTCGGCCGCCGGCGGGCAGATGGGCCGCGAGCCCGCGAGGGGGCGGCGGGGGCGGCGGGGGCCAGTAAGGGACGGAGGAGGCGGTGGGTGGAAAGAGGGACAGCAGGGGACAGTGAGAGGCGGCGGGGTTTGGGGGCCGCGAGGGCCGCGAGAAATGGGATGCAGGGCAGCGAGGGACAGTGCGGGACAGGGAGAGACAGCAAAGGAGTGTGCGACACAGTGCGCGGCAGTGAGGGACGGCAACGGGGACACGAAGGGCGTGGAGGCCACGTCGGCCACGTCGCCCGCGCTCCTGTGCGCCAGGAAGCTGCCGCAGGCCCGGAGGCGCTGACCCAGGCCCGCCCGCCCGCCCGCCCCGCCACGGTCGGTGCTTACCTGTCACTTGTGGGACCCGAATGACCTCGAAGCCTCCTGGCACCGAGGGGGGGTGGGGAGGGACGGCCACTGATGCCCAAGGACGCGTCGCCAGCGAGGCTGCAGAGGTTTCTGGGGGCGCCAGTGATGCAACTTGGGCTTATAGTTTAACCGTAAAATAAATAACACAAATGATAACAAACCAGGAGTAGCTAAAGTGAGAAAAAAAAGCAAACAGACAGAAACCCTCCGGTTGGAACTCAGCAGATTCCTGGGTGGCGCTGCGGGTAGAGGCGGGGACCTGCGGCTGTCCTCCCCCTCTCGCAGCCCTTCTGGCCCTGGTGCCTCAGGCCTGGTAGTTGGACCGCTAGCACTGCCTAATTGGGGCAGTTTAACATATGGAATGAGATTCTGGCCTCATTATCAAGTTAACTATTAACCCTGCACCCCTGAAATGATTTGCCTTTTCTTTGTCATTGTTTACTTACGTTCTTTAATTCAAGGGGCTGCTTTTGAACTCAAAGCTTTAAGCACCAAATTAAATATATATCTATATGTAGATATATATCTATATATACACATCTCTTTCACTTTCTATATCTACATATCTATATCTGAAGTGTCCCTTTCCTTCCTGCCGTGGTATTTATCAACAGTTTAGTTATCCCAACATATTCTTTTACTTACTACATTCATTTAGGATTATTTTCGGATTATGAAAATTAGTCACAACTATTGCTGATTTTCTCAGTTAACTACATTGTTTTGGGGACTCGCAGAAAAATCTATCCAGATCTTTTCAACCCAGACGTAAACTGGTTTTACATTCCCAGCTTACCCATATGCTGTTATCAGGGGTTTTAAAAAAAAAAAATCTGCCTGAGAATTTACCTGAGAACATCTTTTCAGACCGCACAGGAGCTTTCACTGAATGGGGACTATCTGAGCTCCAGTTTCATTGAAAAGGAACCCTAGTTACGCTATTTCAAGTCACCACAATACGGTTGTAATTTGTGCTTTGGCCTTATTGGCATGCTTTTACATTCTCCTATTCATAAAACAGTGATAATCGCTAGGGCAACCATCGAACACACCCCTTCTTTAGAGAAAGAAGATCAACAGGAGATAGTCATGAGCTGTAGGATGTGCTAATGTTTTGGTAAATTATCAAAAATCATGTGAGTAATACATGATTAATCTGATTTTTGTCTTCTATTTTAAACTTGCAAAATAAATAGATATCTCATTTATTCACTTTTTGGGGAAAAACCAGTTATAGCTGCTGGCTTACTGAACTCTGCTTACAATTATATTTATATGAAAAGGGTTTCTCAGCTGTGGGGGAGTTGGGAAGACTTCCACGCCACACAGCTATTATCTAATAGTCTTCTTAATGATACTTTGCAATACGACTCATTTGTCAGTACTATTGTAGAACATTCCGGGAAGAGATTAAAAGGAAAATGCTCAGGAACATGGAGTGATTCTAGCGTGCTTATGAAGTGATCATCTATCGATCATCAAAGGATTTGAACACTGGGTTAATGATTGAGAGAAAATATTCTTTTTTTCTCAAACCAACGTGTTTTAAACTGTTACCAATAAGAAATAAGTTTAGTGGGTTTTTTAAGTTTCTCACAGAAAATTTAATATAGAGTTCATTTCTCCCGGAATTTATGTTAGCTGACTGTTTTGAATGGAATTCAAACATCAAAAATATGAGGATTGTGTCATATTGACCCAAATTGTCATCTTGCACTTGCTTTTCTTTTTGCACAAGGAGAAACTGTCCTTGGAGCAAGATCAAGCTTGAGGTTCTGACTCAGAAAACTGAGAATCACATTACTTTCCTGGGGCCATCGCTCCTTCTGTCCTCTGAAGGAAATGCCACAGTCGTGCAGAGGCAGGAACAGGCTGGACAGGGCCTTCCCAAATGTGCATCTGTATTTTTTTTTGTATTGGAGTCCTATGGAAGAGCGTGCTTCTTTTGGTGTATATTCTCCTTGATCATACAGGTTTCCTACTAATAAATATTTTGAAGTGAGACACTTTCTGTTACCTTATTAGTCCTAGAGTCTTGATCTCTATGTATGCATGGATAGAAATGTATATTAGGCACTTTTTACTTGTCTGTAGTAAGTGTGTGATAAAAAAAAAAAATACACCACACACATAACAGGGCTGGGGAGATAGCCCAGTAGAATAAGTGCTTGCCTGGCATGCGCAGGGTCCTGAGTTCAGTCGCCAGTACCACAAAAACAAATAAAACCAACATGACAAATGGAAGAGCTGCACTCCTTAGAGAATGTTTAGTATCCTGCGCTATATTTTGGAGGCATCATGCATAGGCATATGCATTATATATATCCAGTAAACTCTGTGGATTACTTTATTTTTTAATTTTTAAAATTTTTTTTATGTATTCAGTATAGGGTCTACAGGATCTCACTACACAGATTGAGCTTAGTGATCCTCCTGTTTTCAGCCTCCCAAGCGCTGGGATTACAGGTGTGCAACACCACGCCCAGTCTCTATCACTGTCTCAGTGCGCCCTGCGGGTGGGGCCAGCACAGCAGGCCAGGAACTGAACCCCAGCCGCTGCGCTCTGCCTAAGCAGGCGCTTTAATTTGCTGAGCTATCTCACCAGACCTCTGTGGATTACTTTAAAATGTACATGCTCATAAGCATTTCCACAATACAGCAGAGGCTTCCACTGACTTTTTACTCTTAGGACAGACACATTGGAAAAGTAGCACAGGGCTGGCCAGATAGCCCAGCAGACTAATGTGCCTGCTTAGGCAAGTGCAGCCACCGGGGTTCGATCCCCGCCCCCCGGGGGTGCGCTGAGACTGCGATTGAGACTGGGCGGAACTGGGCATGGTGGCGCAGGCCTGTAATCCCAGCTCTTGGGAGGCTGGAAGCAGGAGGATCACCACCAGTCCGATCTGTGTAGTGAGACCCTGTGAAAAGACCAGGTACTAACTACATTTGAAAGAGAGAGAGAGAGAGCAAAGAAAAGTAGCACAGTAATTAGGAATTTTACTCTACCTTCCTAGCTTTACACCTAAAAGATTAGTATGTCAGTATCTATCATTCTACTATCTATTTGTAACCTATGAGAAAACCAAGTGGTTGTAATGTATTAGTCTGTGGTTTTAACTGTTAGGGACAAGGCTTACCTACTTTGTCTTGGTGTGGGTTGGGGTTTGGACAAGCTGTGTATATAGTTGCTTGTTTTTAGCTGAGCTGCCAATCTTGTACCTAACGCTTCCTTGACAAACATTTGATGATGTTGGTGGATTGATGATATCCTATTTCTAAAAATTTTAGAACCTTTTAGTGTCCTCTAGCGTCTTATCATTTTAGATATTTAATCTAGATATTCCAGGATAATTTTTTTTCAAGATTCTTTTAAGCATTAACCTGACTTTATCTTCAGATTTAAACATTTAAGCATTTTGTCCAAAATCAATGCTGTATTTCTTATTATCTGGCCAGTAGGGTGTGCTCTAGTCCCTCACCAAATTAATTAATTAAAAAAATTAATGTAAATTTTTCATTAATAGAGTTCACAAATGTGTTTCACTTCCCCGTGGCCGTAAGCACACGTGTGGCGTGTTTCCATACACAGGAGCAACAGATGTGGTACAGCGTAACATGAGAAGGAAAATTGTGAAAAATAGAAAGCTTTGGAATGCTCATTTCTTTGGCTTAGTCCTAAAAGAGTTTGGGGCTATTTTACCCGGTTGGACCCTTGATAGCAGGTATTTTCTTTTATCTGGATAAAGAAGAAAGAAAATAATGAGTGGGAGCTCTGGAACCAGAGGATTGGGCTTGAGTCCAGCTCTAGCCCTCGCGAGCTGTAGGACTTCGGGCCAGTTATTACACTTGTGCTGCTTTGCAGCACGGAGCTCAGCATGGATCCTCCTACGGGGCTGCTGGACAGATACACGGACAAATGCATGCTCTTGCCACCCTGCCCAAGCAGGCTCTATAAGCGCCTGTTCTTGTTCTTGTTGCTATTCTCATTGTTGCTCTATATTTATTGAGAGGTTTTTAAAAACATCTTTCATTATAAGGTGTCCAAGTCCTGGATTACTTGCTACTGTATCTGATTTAATTTGTCCAGGAGTTGTTTCATTAAAATCCAAAAGCGTGATTCATAAGAAAACATCTCTTACTTGACTCTGCCCCATTTGCTCCCCAGAGGCTGTAAAGCACTGACTTGAAGAACGCACTCCGTACAGTGGGGCTGCCCGCAGCCCTCAGGGCGGCAGGGAGAGCCTTAGCGCGCTGCAAGGAGCCCCACGAGGGCTGCCGTTCCTGAGCTCTTCCTTCCAAGCCCCAGAGGCTGCCGATGTCCCTGGCACTGCTATCTGTTGTAGGATTTGGCATCACTGTTCTCTAGCCTGGTCACAGGGATAAACTTAAAGTATAGGGCAGGAGATTTGAGTTAGCAAAGAACGGAATTGATATAAAAATTCAAAGGTTAGAGCAAGGCTAGAGGTTCTACAGCTTTAACAAAACCTTGAGAATTAAATAGACTCCTTGAGCCACTCTAAAGTAAGGAAATAATCATAAATCAGAAAGCTTTATATTCCAAGACCTTCAATGTAGCATTACTCAGAATAGTGAAAAACTGTCTCTTAGTAGGACAACTGCCCATGTAAATGGGGGGTATCTGTTCCTACGCTTGTGGAGGTTTTCTAAATAGGAATAATTGCTTGTGAAGATTTTCGTGGGTGCTGGAGCTCAGTACCTTAAGCACCTGCCTTGGAAAGCACAAGGTCCTGAGTTTGATCCCCAGTACCACAAAAAAGAAAGAAAGAAAGAAAAAGGATTTGACACATGTTGCACAAGACTTTGTGAATATTATCACTACTAATAATAGTTAATACCTTTATAGCTTTCACTAAAAAGCATAATGAAGTCTATAGTTAGTCAATCTAGAGTAGATACAGATTTAAAAAATAGAGGAGGTTAGGAAAATGATGGAAACCATGAATGCCCAACATAGGAAAGAACTGAAACCCATAAAGCAAATTCAAGCAGATATCTAGGGCCAGGAAGATAGCTCCATGTCACTGAGTGTCACTGAGTGGTTTTGCTCAGTGGCAAGTGCAAGGTCATGAGTTTGATCCCTGGTACCAAAAAAAGAAAAAAGAAAAAAAAAAAAAAGAAAAAGAAAAAGGAAAGAAAGAGAAAAAAGATATCTAGGAGATTAAAAATTTTACTAAAAGTATACACCCCAGAAACAACCAATTTGAAGACAGAGTGTCAGAGCTAGAAGATGAGTTTGCCATTAGCAACCATGCAATCAAAGACTTCTTAAAAATAGCAAGGTAGCGTGAACGAGCCAGGCCTTAGGTCAGGATTTGTGTGAATTAATGTAACTTGCCACCAGCAGTGCGAGGCCAGGCTGTCCCCAGAGCCTGGGTACCAGGAAGATGACACTTGAGTCACGTGCCCCGTGCCACAGGCTGAGGATTGGATTAAAACCAGACAGTTGTAGTTTCCTTTTTGCTACAAACTCTTCCTTCATCATGAAAAAGAAAAGTAGAAACAAAACTGAATATGGAATATCTGTCCACATGTTATCAGACAGGATTTCTGAGGAAAAATGTCACTAGTAAAAATTCAGATTTAAAAACCAAAAAAAACCCCACGAGGAATTCAGTGGTCCGGTAGCAGAACAGCCTAGACATCTACCTCAGGTACAGCTTGGCTCGGGGTTCTGATGCTGTGACTCTGGCCAGCCCTTTCTCCAGCTGTTGGCTTTGTCTTGTTTTGTGCTGACTTAGTTTTGAAGCTCCTTGGTGGCCTAATGGCTGCCACCACAGCCTAGGACAATGATGGAGAACCTTTTAGAGTCTGCCCCAAATGCAACCCAAAAACCACGTG